CACCGCCGGCAACTCACAAGTACTTCCCACGTCTGCCCAGATGCTGTTCCCATTCATTGCGTGGCTGTCCCTTTGTCTGGCCACACAGTTGCCCATGCAAAGCTGTGCCAGCACAGGGCATCGGTGTGTGAAGTGTTCTCTCGGGTAAAAATATTATTATTATTATTATTATTATTCCCACTTTCATGGGATTCCTGTACCCACTCATCATAGGGCCCACCATACATCACTCATCAGAAGCGAATAACCCACATTTTTCCAAGAGCCCTGGTTTTCCCCAATAATCAGAACCACTCATCTCTATTTATTTATTGAATCTTTATTTTGCTTGTGTTGTTTATTTATTTATTTATTTAAACAGTTCAGTCATAAGAGGGGAATAAAGCAGCCGTTGGGCGATGGAAAGAAGACAATGCCTGCTTTCTTTGCAACTCATTATTACTTTGCTTAGAGCTGCAAGTAAGGAACTCTTGGCGAAGGCTGAGCCCTTGCCAGCAACTTGACATTTATATCCCAAAGGCAGAAACAGAAAAAAAATGTGATAATCCATCTTTAATTCTGAATGTTGGACGTTTTTATTCAAGATCTGCAACCCGAAGATCCGGAGCAGGGTGTCCTAGGGACCGTAGGGGAGAAAAATCCCTACGATCTTACCCAAATTGCAAGGGGGTGTCCTTTAAGTTGGTAGAAAGAGAAAAAATTGGGGTCTGCTACAAGTAACTGCATGGCTAGGAGGAAAAAAAGGAAATAGAGGCTGCCTCTGCGCTGCAGGAATAATCCAGTTTGATGCCACTTTAACTGCCAAGGCCCATGGTATGGAATCCTGGGAAATGGAGTTTCTTGTGGCACCAGAGTTCTCTGACAGAGGAGGCTAAAGATCTCACAAAACTAGTGAATTCCCTAGGATTCACTAACATTGAGCCAAAGCAGTGTCAAACCAGATTATTTTTGCAGTCCAGATGCAAACCTAGGCTGCATTCACACTGAAGAAATAATCTGGTTTGACATCACTTTTAACTGCCATGGCTCAATGCTATTTTTAATTCTGGAAACTGTAGTTTGTTGTGGCACCAAGAGCAGAGCTCTACAATTCTACAAAGCTACAATTCCCAGAATTATATAGCTTTGAGCCATGGCAATTGAAGTGGTGTCAAACCGGATTATTTTTGCAGTGCAGATGCAAACCTAGTTGCCATTTGGGGTGTGTTTTTTGCCCTGGTTGCCAAGCGCAGCATTCCGTTGCCAGGGCATCCCCTTTCTGAGCTGGGCCCCAGCCAATCGGTGCATGCGGAACTGGACTCCAAAGGTTCCGCCATCTTGTCGCGGATTCTTCGATAGGAATTTTGGTCCCTTGCTTTTCCAGGCGCCTGTTCTAGGATTGTGGTTGTGAAGAACGGAGGGGTCTCCTTACCAGACAGGGTCCCCGTGTGGTTGGCTCCAGGTACGTGTCTCAATGTACCCTAAATACCCTAAACAGGCACCAGGTTCCCACCTGATCTTGGAAGCTAAGCAGGGTCAGCCCTGGTTAGTCCTTGGATGGGAGACCGTCAACAAATCCCAGGTGCTGTAGGCTCTGTTTCAGAGGAAGGATCTGGCAATGCCACCTCTGAGGATTTGTTGCCTAAAGAAACCCTATTAGGAAAGGCCTAAATATCCCAAAGGCACTAGATTCCCATCTGATTTTGGAAGCTAAGCAGGGTCTGCCCTGGTTAGTCCTTGGATCAGAGTCCATCAACAAATACCTAGGTGCTGTAGGCTCCTTTCAGAGGAAGAATTGGCAAAACCATCTCTGAGGATTCGTTGCCTAAGGAAATCCTATTTAGGGCAACCCTAAATACCCCAAAGGCACCAGATCCTGTCTGATCTTGGAAGCCAAGCAGGGTCAGCCCT